ACCCTTCCCCCGATCCTGGCATTCCTTGCCCCCTTGCTGGCACAGCCCTTCCATCGGGTTTCCATCCCTGTGACAGGGTTGAGACCCAATTAAGAGGAATTTTTAAAGTCAGACTTCCTGAGATGCAGTGTCAAATGGTTTAACAGCATCTAGAAATCTCTCTCTTGTGTCCCTGTCATCTATTAACTTGGTAACTCAATCAAAGGGAGCAATCGCATTTGTCTGGCTTGATTAAGTGGTGCTTCTTTGCCAACTTTTGTCTGGTGTCGCTGTGAAATCACAGCTGTGTTGACTGGCGTGATCCCTGCCTGCTGCCTGGTTGGGGACGGGAGGGCTGAATCCCAGCCTCTCCCTGCACCGCTCCGGGTCTGCACTTCAGCCCCATTTCCAACCAATGATGAGCACAACTCATCCACCTGGGGCTGGATGAAAAGGACTCCCAATGCAGGGCCAAGCTGACCCTTCCAGCTGGTAAGGTGCATGTCCTGGAGAGTACTTTCCTACCCAGGGCAGGTGTTGTGGTCAGAGCAGCCCGAGCTCCCTGGCTGCTGCCGGCGTTTCTGCAGGCCTCCCTCCCTTTGAAGCTGAGTTTTTCTTTCTCAGCTTGGCTCAGAGAAGCCCCCTGCACGTGACCCAAAGTGGCCTCGGTTCCTCCTTTCCGACAGGAGAGGGTATCACTTACACCCTAGCAGGGACCCACATGAAAAATGATGCCCCAGCGTGAGCAGGGCCCACTTTAGTTAAGCAAACACTCGTCGGTAGAGGAAACTCCTCCACGAACCCTCCACACCTCGTAAGAAAACGCTGGAGCTCTCCCCTGGGAGCAGGCTCTGAGCTGTCCTCAGAGCCAGCAGATCCCCAAGTTGATAAATCTCCAGCCCCGGGATGAGCCGGATTGCCTGGGGTCCCCTGGTGCTGAACTGCGGGAGATGTCACCTGGACACCCCGCAGCACTGAGCCCCCTGCTCCCCGCCTGGCCCGGGCGCTTGGCCTCTGCTCCCTGGTTTGGCTCAGCGCAGCCCGGCAGCGGGAATGTCAGGGAAGGCCATTTGTGGGAAGCGTGCAGGGGTCTGGGCTGGCCAGCCCTGCGCGGAGGGGAAGTGTTTGCCCTCGTCTCGCCCTGAGCTCCAGGAGATGGCCAGGACCTCAGTGGGCATTACTCAGGGCTGGAGTATGAAGTGGATCTAAGGCTTGGTGGGTTTGGTGTGAAATTGTGCCGTTCCCCGGCAGTTCAGCAAAGGGATGGGGCAGGATTGCCAAGGGAGAGCCCTGATAATCCCCACTGGGCCCCCCCAGATGCGGGGAGGCTGCCCCATGACAGGCAGGGGCAGGCAGAGGGCTGGTGCCACATAGCCGGCAGCTATCTGGGCAGCCGTCTGCAAAAGGGTTTCTCTCTGGTTTGCTCCTCGCTGGCCACTTTGATGCATTTAAGTCTCAATGAGATTTTCCTCCTCTGAGTGATTGATCTGGAGCGGCTGGCACTGGATGAGCTGGGAAGGGTTTGACAAGGTTACGCCGGTGGCTCTCTGCCCGCTCCTGCTGCGGGCCGGCCCCGAGCAGATGGCCCCATCGAGCCCTGTTACAGCATGGGGCTTGGGGATGGGGTCCAGCACGTGAAGCCCCCAGATACCTGGCCATGGCCCCAGGGCAGCCCCTTCCCAGTGTCCCAGCCAGCCCGTTAACCATGCCTCGTGGATGGAGCTGATCGATGCTTTACGCGTCTAATCCGCACAATTGCACAAAGAGATGGAGTCAGAGGACCAGGGGGGTGGCAGAGGCAGCGGTGCATTTTACTGAACAGGAGGGACTGGTTTTCTAAGGCCTTTACTCCCTTGCGTGCTCCCTTTCTGGGTCTCCTCTTGCTGTGGGGGCACGGGAGGGTCGTTCGCTCCTTGTAGGATGCTGAGGAAATGCTCGGCGTCATGTGGAAATCCCTACTCGCCGCAGCTTACTGTTGGCGCTTGGCCAAGTTGCTTCGTTAAGGGATGATGTGCGTTCTCCGGCTGGAGAAGGGAGACACGGGCAGGCTTTAGGGGAGGCTGGGACCCAAAGCCAAGGGCACAGCCACCCACGCTCCTTCCCAGACTGTGCAGAGAACAAGGTCAGGGCCTGATCAGGCTGGAGTGCGTTGAGGGTGTTTTGGGAGGGTCATTGAGGTAGGTTTGGGCTCCCTGGCTGGCTTTGCAGCCCAGCGGTGCTGCCCTTGAAGATGTTGCGTCCAGCCCCAGCCCCACGAGCACGCTGGACCCCAGCAGAGCTATCTGAAGGCATCCTGCCCCGTTCCCCATCTTCCAGCGGGTGCCGCAGTGGAGGCAGCAAAAGCCAGCGCATCTCTAAGCAAATCCTGATGTGATGCAAAGCCACTTGTAAAACCCTCTTCTCTCCATCTTTCTCTCCCTTGCTGAAGGTGATCACCATTTTCACGCTGGTGGAGGTCGTGCTGACGTCAGATGGCGTCCCGCTCAAGTACAGCGCCCTGCTCAAGAGACCGAGCTCGGAGAAGTGAGCGCCCCGGGCTGTGCGTGCTCCCCGCTCGTGGGGCTAGCTCACCTCCCGGGCCCTGCAGTGGCACCCGCTGGGGACAGAGGGGACCCAGAAGGAGTTTGGGGATTGGAGTTTTATAACCGATGCCATTTTATTTCTGGTTTGGATTTTAACTCTGGCTGGGAGCAGGGCACGGGGCTTGAGCCTGCCCCAAGCAGAGAATTTCTACTCTCGGATATTTTTAGCTTGGTGCTTTCTTTTTCTTTTTTTTAAGCGGCGGTGTCCATTCCCAGCCCGTCTGGGTCAGCAGCCACATGGGGGGCTCGCACAGGTTTAATTTTGTCTCTTCCTTGTTCCCCCAGCCGAGAATCCCAGCAATAACTCATCTGCTGGGCAGCCCCATGCCTTCCCCTGCCTGCCGCTTCCCGGGCGTTGTGAAATCCAAGCGGCCTCGCTGCCTTCCCCAGCCCCGGGCTGTGCTTGGCTGGAGGGCGTGGGGGATAGGGTGGACATGTGCTCCCAGCTTCTGCTCCGGCAGCTAATCCCTCAGTCTGACCTTCACCAGGAGTCACTGGGTGTCTGCTCCAGCCCCTCACACCCTGGCCTCCAGCCTAACCCCGCTCGGGGACCCTGCAGCACCATGTCCTTGTGTCTCCCTACTGCTGAAGAGAGCGTCCAGCCCCTCGCAGACCGGTCAGCCCCTCTGCAGTCTCCAGGCACCTCTACCTGCTCCCCATCACCATGCCCACCACCCATGCCGTGCAGGGTGTCCCTGGGGGCACAGACTGCTCCGGCAGCCTCCACTTCTTCACCCCTTCTGGGATGGGCAGCCGTGAGCTGGTGGAGGGACTGACATCTGGCGAGGAGGAGTGGATCCGTCATGCCAGGCAGGGAGGGGGCCCTGCTTCGCCCTGCCTCATCAGTGGTGCAGACGTGGCCCTGGCACGGACACATCTGCCCTTTGCAGGAGCCAGGAGCTGCCCGGCTCCGGATGGGATCGGGCTCTGGGAAGGGTCAACAGCTCCCCAGGAGCTGGCGAGCCATGGCAGCCATCAGGGTCCCTGCGGTCCCCGGGGCTGAGCTGCTGGCAGCGTCCTTCCGGATGGCCTGGCAGGGATGTCGCCTTTGGATGTGGGAACAGCCTGTTCCTCCCTGGGTCTCCCGCTCCTCACCGGGCGCTGGGGATGCGGGGCTGTTCCCTGCCCGCAGCAGGTACCTGGCTGTGCCCAGCGTGTTGGGCACCTGCTGACAGGCAGCGTGTCACTGCGTCCTCTGGGAGAGGGGACCTGAGGATGCTGACGCCGAAGGCGAAATGTCCTCCCCGTACCCCTCAGCCCGGCGTCCCCCTCCACATGTTTGTCTCGGGGGAAACAAGGCCAATCCAGCCCCGCTGAGCTCAGCTTGTCTGCGAAAACAGCACTTTGCCCCGCGCCCCCCCAGCCGCTCCCCGGGGTCCCGCAGGCAGCCGCCCTGGTGGGAGCTGAGCCCATGGGGTGCCCCGGTCCCCAGGGGCACCCCTCGCTGCTGGGGGGCAGGGATGGCCCCGGGGGGCTGCTGGGAGGGTCCTGGGCAGGGCTGGGAGATAGGCACTGAATGTTATCAGCCGATCGTCTCACCTGCGGCGGGGCTGAGCCCTCCAGCCAGACAGGGAAGGGCCATAAAGGGCTGTCCCCCCGCCCTGGAAGCGGGCGGCATTCGGGGAGGGAGCCGGGGGGGGCAGCATGGGGCAGGCGCGCTCCC